ATCCCTGTTGTTTCTAAATGTGCTTATATATAAATTGACTTGACTTTTATGATACACCAGTTTAATGTCACTTTGCTGACATCAAACTGGTGAAATGATATAGCCCACTCTAAATGTAATGTGGCTATTTCCTCTACCTATGAAATTATGAGGGCTCAAAAAGAAATAACACAAATTAAAATGTATAAAAATCCATGTGACTTTGAGACCTTGTAAATTTTTAGAAATGCTTAAAACACTGTATTTAAAAAAATCAACTTAAAGGAGGAGGTAGTTGAGAATATTTTTTGTCCATATTTGGGATATTTTTTTCATGAAATGAGCCAGTGTCATGGGTGTATTTGGTGCAGCTCTTATATTCTTGTATTTGCCACATTAATGTTTAAAATTAAATAAACTGGTAGTATAAATTTGAATTACTTCTATCAGTTGTGTTAACTGCATAGATCTATCGACGCGCAGTGCAGCCCACCACTGTGGTCCAAACTGAAATATGTCAAGAACTGCTGTGTAGATTGCCATGTAATGTAGTCATATGAAAAAGAAAGTTTCACAGGGTCTGTGTAGCCTTGTGAAAAACTAAGTACTCCCCTACACACAGAGTAAGTGGGGAGTGCTGCTAATCACTTGATCAACTGATAGCAGCAAATCTGATCAGAGCATGCGATGCTAAGAAAAATTGCAAATAAATTAAGAGCTACATCTCAGTCCATAGAGGCCTCACTATGCATTTCAAATGTTCATCAGAGAAAACTGAAAAAGTATGGCTTGTTTTGAAGGGCTACCAGGAGAAAGCATCTTGTCTCTAAAAAGAACATGGCAGCACAACTTATGTCTGCAAAGCAGAATCTAAAGAAATCACAAGACGTCTGGAACAATATCCTTTAGGCAGAAAGACACACAAACACCTTGTACCAGCTGTTAGCACGGCGGTGGAGGGGTGATGATTTGGGCACCTTTCAGTCAGTGGGTCTGCACGGTGAACTCCTCTGTATGCCAAAGTATTCTAGAGTCGAATGTGAGGCCATCTGTTCAACGGCTAAAGCTTAACCCAAACTGGGTCATGCAACAGGACAGTGATCCCAACATCAGCAGCAAATCTACAACAGAATGGCTGAAAAAGAAAAGAATCAAGGCGTTGCAATGACCCAGTCAAAGATCAGACCTTAACTAGATTGAAATGCAGGGAAATGTGGGGTGGGAGTTTAAGAGAGCTGTGCATAAACTCATACCTGCAAACTCAATAAACTGAAGCAATGTTGTAAAGAAAAATGGGTGAAAACTCCCCCACAGCCGTGTGAGAAAGTGATAGTCCTTCCTTTTCTTTTCAAGGTGTTTGAGATCAGAAACACAGAGGACCTCACAGAGGAATGGCTTAGAGAGAAACTTGGATTCTTTCGCTAAACCCATCACCTCCTCCAGGGGTCTGGGATACGAGGAGAATCCTGATTGCACAACTCGTGACATCTCTTGGAGACAACACACCACAGTTAACCTTTCCCTCCTCCCTGCATCAGACCTGATTTAAATAGTGTTTGCAGTCGTCTGTTTTAGGCCTGCTCGGTGGCGTTTAACGCTCAGTACAACTCATAAGATGCCAGAAGGTGCACACAATTACAAGAGTTTGAATGCTTCTCTGTGACTGCCAACATTTCTGGCACTTATTAAACCTCACCGATCTGGCAGCCTAAAACTGACCATACTGTTTGAAGCAGGTCTGTTATTGTCTCCATACAATCTCTCCATATTTCTCTTACGTGTCTGTTTTGAATTAACGAGGGCTGCCCCCATTAGTCAACCAAAGACTCAAGTCATGATTAATTGACACTGACACTCAGTTATTTGTGCCAGATACTATTGTTTACACAGCTACTCCCTGAGCTCTTTGGCTGATAGTTGCATATTATGAACAGGAAATCTAAAGGGTGGGATTACTTTGAGATAATAGGATAAGTGTTATTACTGTGCTATCACTTTTCTTTCTCAGCCCTCCCTCCTAAAATACACATTTAAATACTTAAATTAATATGAGAAACATATAATTGCAACTTCTACTCGACTAAGAAAGTCTTTGTTTGGGGGGGCAGCCCTAGAATTAATGTTCTCATTGCTCTTCAAGTGCAGAAATTGACCATTTCTACAATTCAAAAGAATTCGAACACTTTTTAACAACACTTTCTGTTTCTTCTAGATGTTTACACTCAGAACCTCCTAAGTTTTACCGTTTTATGTTCATTAGATTTTAATAATCTGAGAGTCTTTTTTTAATATTTAGTTATTTCTGGTGTCTCTAGGGTTAGCTAAGTATATACTTTATATTCATTTCATTTCTTTTATTGTGAAAGACAAACTTCCTGCCAGAACCTCGGAACAATCATAGCTACAATTCTGTTTTGTTTTACTCCGTCTCTCCTTTAGTCAAGGGCATTTCAGTTATAATTTACAGTAACACTAATACATCTGTCTATATGATATGCGTTGCACCTTCTCCTGTGCACAAGAACACAAGCTGGCAGAAGCCCTTGAGTGGTGCTTATTTAGCTGCAGATGTAACCCTGTTAGTCTGTCATCAGGTTTTTTTTTTTTAAATCTCTGTTTAGAGGAGAGAAAAAAACAGTGTGAATTGTGGGTAATGCGTTCGACCTGCATGTTTATTACAAGAATCCAACACTCCAGGAAAATGATATTTTTCCACTGAAACATTCCAGATGTGAACAGTTACACACAAAAACCTCTGTCTAGCGACCATGACAGTGATGATTACACTGCATTACACAGGGCGGTAGTTCCCGCCCTCATTTTAATCTACTGGGCGACTCTGTTTAAATGGGTTACTGTGTCTTTAGGGTGATTGTTAGCTCCTATCGTGCATTATAGCTCTTACTGTTATTGGTGTTTATGAATGTCGTACTTAAATCCGTATGTAAAGCCACGTGAATTGCTTCATGGTTGTCGCAGCCTTGAGAATGACGGCTGCGATTTCTCCAAACGCCAGATGTGCCAGAATTGGCAGGTAAATGACAGCATCTGGCCGATTTACATTCTCCATGCAGACGCGGGATTTGACCGGTGTAGCTTTTTCTTTGAAAGGCTGATATTTATGTATTGAATGTGCCAGCAGCTCATTTTTGTGCCAATGTCTAATATCCTCAGCTCAGTCTGTAGTTTTTGTTTACCCAATTTTTCTTAGCTTTGAGCATTTTTAAAATACATTGTGCTGGAGCACACAGCTCAAACACTTTACAAACGGATGTATTTGGCTTTTCATGCCCCAAAGGGACAGCATTTTTTCCTGGCTTTTGGTTCCCTGCTGAATATTGTCAGTATTTAAGCCAGTGCAGCACACTACCCAAAGGATTAGTAGCAGCATGACCAGCCCCAGATAGTTAAAGCTGTATAAGAATGTACTATGCATGTATTGCAGATAATACAGACTGGTTTTATTGTGATAAAACAGGAGTAACCTCAGTAGTAAGTGACCCGAGAAGCAGACTTCTTTTTTTTTATTTATAATACTACAAATGTCCACTTTTACCCTGAATTATATTGCTGAATTAAAGCCCAGAAATTCTCCAGATAGTGCATGATATTATATTGCAAAGGCTACCATACCAAGGCCATGCTGCAAGGCCAAAACCTGTTTTTCTCTGATGGCGTCTATGCCCTCATAAACAACAGAAACTCTCCCAGAGATCTGGCTCAAAGATGTTTTCATACAATCAAACTGCTCCACGTGCATCATTCGTAAGGGCAGGGTTTTATCCAACAGGAGCAAAGGGGACATAAGTGTAATCACTTGTTTTAATGTCTACTAATAGCAGAAAAACACAAATCCACTAGATTAAATGACCTTTATATGACCTGAAAAACCCTTCAGAAAGTCTGTAAATTCAGGAATATGCACAGCTTGAAATGAACACTGTTTATTCAATGCAATTGAAATGTGCAATGTACTGGGTTAGATGTGAATATATTTATCTTTCTAAATTCTAAAGACCTCTAAAATGTGGAGAGCTACTGTAGAAGAAGTGTATGCTTTAAAGTAAGTAAGCCTTACAGAAGGCTTTACCGATGCTTTCTGAACAGCTACACAAAGTCTCTGACATCGTTTATTTGCACATGAACGCTATAAAAGGTTCGCATCACAGTCGTCAGGTGTGATATCTGAAGTGTGCCCAAACTGACATTAATTTCTCTAAAAGAAAGCCTCTGCTGTTGCTATTTTAAATGGGATGTATAAGAAACTGTCCATTCATCGTGTATCAAACTCAGTCTCCCTAATGTAAGGTCCAGTTAACTAAGAGCCCCCTTTGGTTATGAGCCATGTATCTGGTTATGTCCTGTGGATCTCTAACAGCTTTTTATCTTTATGTGGTGAACGCATATAGTTTTTGGCCTCTAGTGGTTTTTTTTGTTTTTTTTACTTTAACCTGCAATTGTGTTGTCAGCGCTCGGTGTCCTCTGATTAAATGCCTATTCTATTTTCTTTCCTTTTTACTAAAAAAAACCACCTGAAACATCTGTCATAACCAGCTGCCTCGTGGCATCAGTGAAACTTGAGATATTTGTATTTTCCCATACTTTATAAAAGTGTCTTGTCCTGTTGTCCAAATAAAATGACAGTGATGTTTACCCATGTGTTTCCAGAGACTGCTGTTTTCAAACTGAAATGGTCATATGAGCTTCATCAGAGATGGTCTTGGTGTCTGAACACAGAAAAGTACCATCAGAATTTGATCCATCATGTAATACCATCTGGACAACATCTGATTGGCCCTGACTTCATTTTTAGGCACAACAATGATCATAAACACACTACCAATGCAGTAAAAGCATACCTGGATAGAAAACCACACAATGGACACTATTCCTGAAACTGTGGGACTCCAGGAGATAAAGAAAACACCGAAGTTCAGAAAGAAATTCCAGGAGATGGCGCTAATGCATGTTAAAAGTGATTTCAGATAAGTAAATGGTCCAGTAGGTGGCGGTAACGCACCCTGCTGTAAGATGGTTGACTTGCAGCCACTAACACTCAAAGAAGAAGGGGAAGAAGCAGCAGTAATCGGTTGGGAACCTGCCTGCATCATCTGCCGATCGAGCCAGGAACCGACCAGCAGAACCGGAGAAAAATGGCGTTCACATTCGCGGCCTTTTGCTACATGCTCGCACTGCTGCTAACGGCCGCGCTTATCTTCTTCGCTATCTGGCATGTAAGTACACATTTCTAGGTCGCCTGCCAAACGGTGCGGACGTAAAAGTAGAAAGAATGAGAAAGATGGGCTAACAGTGAGCTAACGAAGCCTGGGAATGAATGGCACACACCCTGTCCGGTCGGCTAGGACAACAAGTTAGCAGTTTTAACACCAAGACGTGTTTTTAATAAACTATTTCCCATCATCCATATAGAGCTCAACACCACTTTTACATGTTTTATACCCCTTTATTTTGTTTGTATCGCTTGCCAGCTCAGAGTGCAGTGTTGGCTAGTTAGCATGCTAAGCTAACGTTTGGCTGTCATGTGTTTATCGACATGTCACATCTCTGCATTGTGTAATACCGCCAGGTTTTGCAGTCACAACCCCAACGTAAGCAAGGGGAGTTTGGAGCACATTAAACTAGCTGTAAATAATTAACTAGCTGTTCAGTCATTTACTAGATTGAGGTAATCAGTGACGTGGCTTGGGATAAATAATAAATAAATAGATAAATAAACTTTCCAGTTGGGATATCTTCAGTTTTCTGCTTCTGGCTGGTCATATTGGAGAACTTACCTGTTGTATTGTGAATAAATAACTTGAAGACAGAGAACATGCAATTTGCTTTTGAATGCAAACCAAATACTAATTTTCTTTGATTTTCATTCATATCACTGATTAAAAAGCTTATTTGAAGTAATACAATCATACAAGGTAATCTTACTCCTTTCTGTAAAAGACCCTCTCTAAGTATTTCAAACCATGTTTCAAACAAATCAGCCTCACAAATAAGTTAAATATGAGAATTTAGCTTATCTGATTGTATCCACACTTGAAATCAGGGTTCAGTATTTTGCCGAAGGATACCTGACAAGTATTCTATCACCTGAGCCACAACCTACCCAATACCCGAAGATGTAGTAAATTAATTTTCTATAAAATGACCTATTTTGTTTAGATTCTGCTTTCTTTCTTTTTTTTAAAGATGGTGCTGCATCTTAAAGTTTTTTTGTTCCTGTTTTTTAACATGTCTCTGGTTACTGCAAGCGAAAGAATAAGGGAGCAGTTTTGGTGTGAATATTATACGTGTTATTGGGATATTTTACCACTTTAATGTAGAGCATAGGTGTCAAACTCTGGCCCGTGGGCCAAATTTGGCCCGCAGCCTAGTTACATTTGGCCCGCGAAGCCATACCAAATTACTATTAGAGCTGGCCTACAGGTATTATACAGCTAATATATATATTGTTTAGTATTAAGCTTTGCTTGTTCCATATTCAGTTTTTCAGCAAAACGTGTTTGAGTCCATTAGAAAAGATTCATTCTTATATCTGGAGGAATAAATATATTTCAATAAATATATTTCAATAAATATTAACGTTAACTCGCGACTTTGTTTCAGTTTTGAATTTTGGCCCACTGTGTATTTGAGTTTGACACCCCTGATGCAGAGGAATCATTTACTAACAAGCAAATGATCCTCTGTTTGATTTCGGGAGGAGATAGAAATCCCTTTGGGGCTGTGTCAGGAAGGACATCCAGCATAAAGACTCTGCCAAATCAAAAATGTGGTAAAAGTAGCTTTTATTCTATGCTAAAGTTTGTCAAATGGCCTGGCCTGTATTTATATAGCGCTTTACTAGTCCCTAAGGACCCCAAAGCGTTTTACACAACCAGTCATCCACCCATTCACACACACATTCACACACTGGTGATGGCAAGCTACATTGTAGCCACAGCCACCCTGGGGCGCACTGACAGAGGCGAGACTGCCGGACACTGGCGCCACCGGGCCCTCTGACCACCACCAGTAGGCAACGGGTGAAGTGTCTTGCCCAAGAACACAACGACCGAGACTGTCCAAGCCAGGGCTCGAACCGGCAACCTTCCGATTACAAGGCGAACTCCCAACTCTTGAGCCACAATCGCCCCAGCCACAAAGCTGAGGGTATAGCAGATGAGTTTGTTTGAGCTGATTATAACTTGGGGTTTAGTCTTTTCTGAAAGCCATTAACCATGAGTGACATGCATAGTCATAGTTTGGTTGGACTAGAACAGATCATTTATCATTTGCCTTTGTTTTACTGAGATGAATTAATATTTTGTCTATAGGAGTGGAATTTTTGCAGTTACCTTATACATGATACATTTTTAGTTTCTCCTAGATGTGTTAAATGATTAGTTGAGCTAATTTCAAACAGAGTCACATTTGGCTAACAGAATTCTACCCTTGTTATGTTTGCAGTTACTGGCAAAAAGCATAACTTCAGTTTTCCTAAGAGGAAGTCAAAGCTTATTTTCCTGTAGTCAGAGGCTAACAGATTAGAATTTTAGTTAAATATTGTTAGGATTAGGGGAAAAAAGTTCACAATACAGAGCTTCAGACCTGTTATTAATGTAGATGGGGAAAAGTAATAGACCTGAAATAGATCCTTGTGGTACACCACAAGTAACATTTCCAGCTGGTGACCTTTTGTCACCTATTGATTAAATCTATTGCTTTTATATTCATCCACAGTATTAAAAGCCATTTGAAAGTCAGTAAATACAGCACCAGTATACAAGGCATTATCCATATTAAATCAAATTTTATTGTGAAGGTATATAAGAACAGTATGGGTAGTGTAACCTGGTAAAATATTATTGCACCTGCTGTCCTCTGAGTCTCTGTTTTTAACATTTTACCATTGATCACCTTGGTCCTTCAGATAATCGCTTTCGATGAGCTGAAGACTGACTACAAGAATCCTATAGATCAATGTAACACTTTAAATCCGGTAAGTGATCTCACCTCTTCAGCTATCATACCTTCCTTGCATGCAGATATGCTCTGATGAAAGATGTTCTCTTTATTTTAGTACAACTTTATCCACCTATCTGTCTTTTTCTCTCATTTCTCTGCACTGTTATGCTAAATAACCTGCCTGTTATAACTTCAGTGATCTTGTCAGCTGTCAAACTCTAACAGCCTTTTTGTTTTTCCTTATCTGCTTTTTTTTTTTTTTAAACCACTTTTAACGACAAAAAGACAGTTGAAAAGGTCAAAAAGATTAAAAGAGTCAAAATTGCATTAAAGGTTTGTACCAATCTTTAAAATGCCCGCTCAAGTCCAACTCAGTCTGCAGTCTTGTCATTTTGCACGGGGAAGTGTTTGCAAACGTCTTTTCAGTTAACTAATCTTTAGGTCAGGGTTCAGCTCGGGATTAGACAACATGCCACCTGTGCCTCACCTGTATCCTTTTTATTTCCTCCCCCCACCTACACGGTCATTATAGTTTTATTTTTGGCTTTTCAATCTCTTCTTTGTATTTCTCTCCTGTACGCCTCAAAGTTCAGCTTCAGACTGATTGCACTGGCTAACAGGCATGTTTTCAGCTTTCTTGAACTACCTTTTTTTGGCCGTAGAAGCAAATGGATATCTAACAGTGGGTAAGCACTATACTCTTGGACGAACAGTCCTCCTTATTGATTATGAATTAAGAATAGCTGTTAACTGAAAAGACTTGCAAATGCTCAAAACATGCATGATCTTTACTACAACCTACCCTTTGTTTGCATATAGTTACAAGTATAGAGTATTCCCAGGAAACTCTGAGAGATGGGTATCTTGTTTTCCATTTGAAACAGCAGTTCTGGCAGAGCTTGCACATAACTGTTAGGATGGTATAGAATCACAGCAGCCCGAACACTAGTCTTTTGATTTTGTAAACCCCCCCCCCCCTTTTTTTTTTAATACTTTGCGTGTTTGATTTTTCCAAGACAGCTTGTTTTATTCTTCAATCATCGGTTTTCTTAAATGCATGTCACAACTTGTTTTTTTGCAAGGTGAATGCTACAATTTGAGTCAGCAATTAGCAGACCTAGGCCACTGTTTATGATCTCAGTGTTGGCTCTAACCCGCATCACCTGCGGTTCAGAACAGATGGCTGCAGAATCCAAACACTCTCCAGCTCAGCAATATTTAGAGCTCCTGATTGGTCAGTGATTCGTAGCTGAAAAGTGAAGGTTCCTCTACGTTTAAGCCTTGACATGCTCCACAGTCCGATTTGCAGTTTTGGCCTCTTTTTTTTCTCAGCTCAGTTGGCACAATAAATTTATTTATTTTTTTGTGCAGTTGTTTTGTATTTGGCAGCACAGTGCAGGATTTCAGCACATTTAAAGCCCGTCCCGTCCTTCCTGCAACTTCCTCTTTCCCACACACCCCTCACCCTTCCATCTGTGGGCTGTTGGTTGCCCCCTCCTCTCCGCCCTCTGCTCTTATTTTTAATGCATGGCTTCCATGTGGCGCCTCCATCTGCCCCCCTGAACCCCGCAACCAGCTCGAACTCTGTCAACCTGAGGCAGACTGCTGCATCGACAATGCTAAGCGTGCTCACAGCATGGTCCTTCTCTGGTGTGTTGTCCAGTGCGCTTGTCAGGAAGTGGAATGATCTGTAGGTTCACCCTCACTGCAGAAAATGTCGATGTTGGGATGCGCAGATATTCTTCAGAGCAATTTGTCCCCCTTTAATTGTGGTCACACTTGATAATGCATGACATAACCAGGGTGGGAAATTAACCATGTTCTCTATCCATTTGCAACAGTTTATTAAAAAAAAAATTATGCAAGCACCACATGTTTCTTCAGTGACTAAAAGAGGCGATTATACAAATTAATTTTCTCAATGCGTAGCCACATATGGCTTCACTGTGGCACCTTTTGTAAGCATTAAACAAGTGAGGAATGGCTTAAAATCTGCATATGGATGATTTTAATTTTTCACCCTGTTTCATGTGTTAAAATAAGGCAGTGTTTATGTGTTTTACATAATATAAGATGAAGCTGGACCTCACTAAAGGCCTGTATAGCACATGTAAAGCACAAAATTATAGCTTAACCAGAGTTCATTTGTGATTCAGTCCTTCTCTTGTATTCTTTCAGCTACTGCAATTTTTAGACGTCTGCTTCTTTAAATAGCGCCGCTTTCTCCTTGTAAAAAGGACTCATTACCTTTGAGGATTCGTTACATCACATTGTGTTGTCCTCTGATCAGTGTGCTTCAATTTCTAAGTCTCTGCATTTATTCCACACATTGAGTGGATTGATTAACTTTGTTTAGACAGTACATTACTAAGTCAGAATTAGAACAAGAGAATTGAACTATCAGCTGTATGCGAATATTGACATGTCTTCTTCCTTGGCTCCTTTAGCTGGTGCTCCCAGAGTATCTTATCCACTTCTTCTTCTGCGTGATGTTCTTCTGTGCGGCCGAGTGGCTCACCCTCTGTCTCAACTTACCACTGCTGGCTTATCATGTCTGGAGGTACGTATTCGAAAACACTGATCCTAGAGTCAACACCTGGTTTTACTTAACTAAACCTTTGTAAACAAGTCACATCTGCGTGTAACTCGCTGCTTTCATGTTTGCCTTTCTGCAGGTATATGAGCAGACCTGTGATGAGCTGTCCAGGACTTTACGACCCAACAACCATCATGAACGCTGACATCCTGGCGTACTGTCAAAAAGAAGGCTGGTGCAAACTGGCTTTCTACCTCCTGTCATTCTTCTACTATCTCTACGGGTATGTTTTTCACTTGTATTTTTCTGCTCTTTACTTTACTTTTCATTTGTATCTGCTGAGAGAAGAATCTTTGAGACTTAGACTTCATTACGGCAGCTATTGTTTGCAGTGCAAAAAATGTGTGGCTATGAAGATATGTTGATCCTGGGGTAGTTTTGTCAGAGAGGCGGACACCACTTTATTTGTTCGTTGAAAGGTAGAGGCAGTCAGTAGTGACAGGAGAGCAACACAGCATGGCTCTGTCTAAAATCTGCCTACCAGCAGCTTTTAAAAAGGCGCTCAGTCTTCCTTTGTCAAACAACAATTTTTGGATTTATGTACCAGTCTTGATGCTTATTTAGATATTCCTCTTGTTCTCTCCAACAGGATGATCTACGTTCTGGTGAGCTCTTAAATGGTGCGATGAAGCAAAAGGACCTGCATGTACAGTAAACGACCAGACACTATGATCTTAGTGCTGGAGCACTGGACCTGCTGGAGACCACCTTTCAGCAACACAAGACGCCATTTCCAAGTGGACAAACCTGTCATTTCAGAAACATTTAGCCAGTTTTAAGAGAATCCTGGTTGCAGTGTTCCTCTCATAGCACTATAGTTACAAAGCTTTTATGGAAAATACGGACAGACCTGAATGGACACATCTTTCTCTCTCTTCTTTTTTCCCTGTTTTTTTTTAATAGTGTTTTTTTTGTTTTTTGTTTTTTTATGCTTGGGATTGAAAATAAAGTTTGCTTTTTTTTCATCACGTTTCCCAACTGTTGAGTGTTTACAGACTAGGTAGACATTTTCAGGTGTGCATTTATCTGTGAGAATCTAAGCTGTGTGCTGAACTGCATTAGCTTTTTCTGTGAATAAGATCCCGGGCTTTAAAAGCCAATTTACACCTGCCACGTGACTCATTACCATGACTAAAATGAACAGCGGAGTGTAAAACAGACTTTTGTTCTTGCCCGCAGATGCAGAAGGTCTTATAACGTGACACTTTGAGGGCTGAAGTGCATGTTAACGAAACGTGTCGCACAAGGACGGTAGTAGTCTGGTTGTCGGTTATCACCTTTCAAGCTATCTGATGTATTGTTTCCATGCATCCCTGTCAAACTATTGCTGATATGTTTTCTTAAGTGTGGACCGCCATGTGTGTGATCTGTAGACCCGTCCTTGCAGGTATCTGTAAATAAAAGGTAGACTCAACAGTACTATAATGCAGCGGTTCCCACGGACTGGTTTGAGCCCGACAATATTTTCACGGACCGGCCTTTAAGGTGTCGCGGATAAATACAACAAAAAACTAGTACCGGTACTGAAAACAGATTTATTCATAACACACGTGAAAAGACCCAGGAAAACAGAGTTAACAAAAAAAACGATAACAAAATAACGCTAAAAACCCTGAAAACCATACATTTCACACCAGAGTCTCAACTCTCTCGGGCCACGGACCGGTACCGGCCCGGGGGTTGGGGACCGCTGCTTTAATGTATTCACCGTTAGGAAGGAACACTATCCTCCTCTTTCCTTTCGGCATTCAAGTTTTGATCGACATCAGCTGATGTGCCATACTGTTGAATGTACCTTTGAATTTCTTTTTGTCGTTGTGCGTTTTAATTTCAACACCAAATATTCCACATTGTTAGAAGATCCAACGTTTTATTTTTCATGTTTTCAATTTGACCTTTTTTCTTGTTTTTAGTAATTCTTCAGAATATCAAGCACTCCTTGCAGTATCGCTCATCTCCAGAATCAGAATCTAGACTGATGTTTTAGGCCACTGCAAAAAAAATTTCATTCATGTTAGAGTATTTATTGTCATGTTTAACATGTAAATTTATCAGGGAAAAGGATTATCATTTGTCACATTCAAATAAAGAAGTTTTTATGTGTTAGATCACATCAAATTACATCTAGGAAATTGTTTATTTAAATCTAAATAAACTATCCTGCTCTGTTAATGTGGACTGGAGTGTTATTTCTATGCAAATGTCAACAAAAAACCTTAAGACAGCCCTCATGTCTTTATATTTTGCCTCTAAGGAGCGAGACTTGTAATTATTCAAAGTGGGAAGCGTATCTGTAACCGGAAGGTCACCAGTTTGATCCCCGGGCACTCTGTCCTGGTCGTTGTGTCCTTGGGCAAGACACTTCACCTACCGCCTACTGGTGTTGGCCAGAGGGGACGATGGCGCAATATGGCAGCCTTGCTTCTGTCAGTCTGCCCCAGGGCAGCTGTGGCTACAACTGTAGCTTGCCTCCACCGAATGTGAGAGTGAATGAATAGTGGCATTGTAAAGCGCTTTGGGTGCCTTGAAAAGCGCTATATAAATTCAATCCATTATTATTATTATAAGTATAAAAAGGCAGCAAGTGTTGTCCACAAACCACGCCCCCCCCAAAAAAAAGAAAATTTAGTTACTCGTACCCTGTCATCAAAACACAATGTTCCTATCTTTAGTTGAATCTATTAAAATCTATTGCACTTAAAAAGATAAGGGTGGCTGTCAAGAAGCCGTTCTTAAAGAGGAGCAATAGAAAAGGCTGAGGTATGCTAAATTATACAAGAACTGGACTAATAATCCAATGCAAACGTTATTGGCATTTCACTGCTGCAAGTGGTATGAGTCACAAAATGTAGATAGAAAAATATAAATTGTGGGATATTTTAATACGATGAAAAATAAAACATAACTTTGCAGCATTAGATTTTGTGCTACAAGGAAGGAACCATTACAGTTCATACAAGCCTAATTTCATCATTAGATTTAGTTCACAAAGACCCCATTTGAGTAATTTCTGGTTTCAATGAAGAAAGTAACTTAGAAATTTTAGAAATAACTGATAAGCTTCACATTTAGAGACAGACTTGATGTCTGAAAAGCTGTTGTGCAGTTTTGTTCCCCTTAAATAAAAAGACCATTGGAAAGTACACACATATATTGCCCAGCTGACATAGCACTTCTAACACACACCATTATTTTATTTGCAATATAAACGAAACAACATTTTCCATCTAATAACATAAAGCAGTATCTCCTCATCAAGTCTTTAATTAATTATGAGGATGATAAAAAGCAATATATTACAGTGTTCATTCTAAAGTGCATTTCTCAAGAATATAATCATACCACCACACAATCAGGAAAGCATCACTGGCAAACAAGCAAGCTTGAGGAACTCGAGACTTTTCCAGCTCTGTAGAAAGGAGCAGTAATCACCGAGACACCGAGCGCTCCGAGCGAGCTTCACTTTCACTTTGGTAGGCTGTGTACTTTTCCCGAAACTCGTGAAGGAAGTTGTATTGCTACAAAAAAGTAAAAAGATGCGGATAAATGGAAAATTAGGGATCACACAACAGAAAGACTAAAGTTTTAATAAATCAGAGACTATATAATGCTGTGATGATACTTTCTTCATGAATTCAGAGGCTTTATTTATAATTTATGGTGTTTTGATTGACTGGCAGTTGACACAGCCATCTCTGGGGTTTACAGAGAATAGACTGAAAACAAAAACAAATCAAATAACCACATCCAAGGAATGTAGAAAAGCATCTCTGACAGTGTACATCAGCAGAAGACCACACTTGTCACTTCTCTTTATGTCACTTCTCTCAGCAGGACAGGAAGTGAAACTACAATTCACACATGCTCACACATCGAGAGGACTGTAAAAATGTTGCCTGGTCTCATGAATCTCAATTTCTGCTGCAAGATTCCTGGGGTAGGGTCAGAATTTGGGGTAAACAGCATGAAAGAATGGCTCTAGTCTGCCTTGTATTAGTGGTACAGGCTCCTGGCGGTGGAATAATGGTGAACGGGACGCTTTCTTGGCACAATTTGAGTCCCTTCATACCTGAATTATTACTGACCATGTTCATCCCTATATGACCAGTGTACCCATCTTCCAATGAGTGTTTCCAGGATGACACCATGTCACAAAGTGTCTTATAAAGGTTTCTTGAACATATCATTGAGTTCACTGTATTCAAATGGCCTCCATAGTCACAAGATGTCAATCTAATCTCCAGGAACTGTGTCAATGTGGACTAAAATCTCTGAGAAGTGTTTCCAGCACCTTGTTGAATCTGATGAATGAAGAACTAAGACAGGTATGAAGGCAAAGGGGTCCGTTGCAAGTACCCAATATCAGGTACTAACAAGCTGTACCTAATAAAGTGACAGTTGGGTGTAAATTGATTATTTTACATAAGCAACATTTTTTCTTTTTTTTTTCCATTTATAAATTAGATCCCCAAGACTCTTCTAGCAGCAAGTTACCTGAAAATCATGAGGTTCTGGTTTTAATCACTAGTTACAGATCTTATTGCAATCTGTTTAGAGTAACAGTGACATAGCAGTGAATGATCAGACTTAGAATAAGGTGAATAGCAAACTGCTTTCATATAGGTATGTAACAGTATTTACAGTTTCTCATCAGATCCACCGCTTGCTTGCGACATCTGCCAAAGCTGAGGCTGAGGTTGGAGGCTCAGTAGCTACATCCATTTTTTACATGCAGTTCTTCCACGTTTATGCTTTTCTTTTCTCAAGCAGATTCAATTGAGCATTTTGATGTTAGAGTTAATTTTTAACTACAATTTTGTTGTGCCTGTACAATGACAATAAATTCTATCCATCCATTCTCTTTTCGCTTATCCTTGTCAGGGTCGCAGGGGGGCTGGAGCCTATCCCAGCTGTCTGTATAGCCCGCTTAGGGGGAGAGGCAGGATACACCCTGGACAGATCGCCAGGCTGTCGCAGGGCTAAAAAATTCTATTCTAATCTAATTTATTAATCGCAGCAATTTTAGACCATCAAATGTCTCTGCAAGGTACAAACCAACAAAAACACGAGTTTATAATAAACTAACAAAAGCAGCAAAATGACCCCTTAAAAACTATAGATGAAGAGGAAGAAAAGCAGCGACTCACCCTCACTGTTTGTATTGCTCCTCCTCCTCTGTGGTGCCTGAGGATTTCGATGGCTTTGTTTGGCGTCATTGTGGAAGAGAGCTGAAGCAGCAGGCAGGCAGCGACTGCAGGGCAAACAACAGCCATGTGATGGGAGCAGTGACATTAAATTAGGTTACATGACATTTCTAATGTTGGACAGAGAATGTTCGATAGAAAACTTCAAAATAAAAGAATAATAATCTTACTTAATGCTGAGCGTCCCAGGCCCCCGTAGCAGCTGAGGAGATAGGGAAAAGGAAAATGACAAAATCCAATGAAATTGACAGCTAAAGAAAAAAAAAACTGTTGTATTGTATAATGAAAGGTGTCTCGAGGAGCTAAAAACAGATGTATTTGTGGTGATATGATGCCATTTGGCACTTCAAAGTTTTATGATACCAAGGTGTCCTTTATTGGACAGGGAATACTGTGGTAGCGATACCTCTCAGCATTAAAATTAAAACCCACTCATATCATACAAGTTCAGGACAACCAGTTTCCTCCTGTTGCCTAGCGAGCAGCTTTATAAGCTCTCTGGGAGAGTGGAGAGCTTCTCAGGGGCCTTTTAGTAACAACAGTAAAAGCTCTGCTCACTTCAGATCTCCTGGTTTTATAGAGCGACACAAAAACCTCTCTTTACTATCCAATCTGATCTGCTTTTGTAGGTAACTCTGTTTAACCCTGGTCATGTGTAAAAAGTGCTTCTTTTTCACTCGTTTTGAATCCAGTCCTTGTACCTGAACATTTTCAGAAGGTTTTCTTTCATCATATCTACAGAAAATGCCAAATATAACATAATTGCACCAACAAGGTGAGTCCGAAACAGCTATTAAACGTTACACAAGGCAATGATCCAAAATACACATCCATAGCAAGAAAAGTATTCTTGGATAGAAAAGCACACAGTGGAACACCATCGGTCATGGATTGGCCTCCACAGAGCTCAACATTTTTAAAGCAGGGTGGGATCATCTTGACACAATGGAACCAAAGGCAGCCAACATCGAAAGAAGAGCTTTGAATGTTGTACAAGAAGCCTGGAGAACTCTTCATGAAACTACAAACAAGATATTTTCCTCAAGTTAGCTCAGGATGTGTTGAAGAACGAAGGTGGTCACGCCAAATACTGACTTTCGAGCTTGTTCAAATTGTACAAACTCTGTTTTCTTCCTCTTCTATTGTGTTTACATGTTTCACATTTTAATACATCCCCCATTTTACTAGCAAAAGATTTAAAAAAAAAATCTTAAGATTTTTGCACAGTACTACATGCTAACTCTCCTCTCTGCTTTGTCTGTATTAATTAGCAGGTAGACATCACGCACTGTGTGGAACATTAAACTGAACTCAGTTTTGACTTACTGGATCACCGTCCTCCTGTCATTCTTGAGGCTGATCTGCAGCTCATCAAGGATCTGGCAGCACTGGTTCAGCTCAGGTGCGTCTCCATCTAGAAAAGGCATGTGGTGAACCCTGAAGCCCCGCTGCTGGTAGACCTCCAGCAGTGAGGGAACCCTGTATTTGCTAAGCTCTCCTCTTGTGCAGAAAACAAACACATCCTGCACCCCCTGGTTCTGGAGCTCCTCTGTAAACAAGAAGAGAAGTTTCTCTTGTAAAACGGGAAAACCCCAGGTTATCCACATTTTTTCCACCACTTAAGGCTAATTTCTGCATAAACATACTATTTATAAAATACTGTGAAAAAATGAAATCATAAATCAGATAGCTAAGCGAATAAAATGTTTTGCATAAAGTTAAAAAAGCATCCACTATCAAGTTTGTGCTTGACTTCTGGTGAGTTCAGTTCTAGTATTTTATAAAAATTTTAATGTGCGCTAATTAGAAGGTATCTATACAGTTAATTACTGTAGGCTGTATAAGATGACAACACTCACTGACTGACTTTGACTCAAAAAAAAACATACTCAACATGCTCTAAATTGACAGATTTTTGCACAGACAGGGTTGCATTCAATACTATTGTACATGTGCAATGACAACAAGGATTGTTAATTATTATTACAAAGTCAAGGTTTTCTACATCTTACAGTAAAGACTATTTTTCAACATTTAAAATATATGTTGAAATCTTGCTTCTTAATTAAGTGGTTAGATTCAAACATCTGCTTGTGAATGCTAATTACATCTGGTAAAATCAGGATCAGCACCAACTTACCAATATCTCTTTGCAGACATCTGCGGATTTCTTTGTATTTGCAACCTTTAGTCAACAAAAACAAAACAAAAAAGAGCAAAAACAAAAAAAAGTCAGAAAAAAACCAAAATTCAATATACGATGCAGTAAATACAGTAGACAAATTGTTTCACCTGGTAGTGCACATATTCCAAGAAACTGCGGGCACCCTACTATGGATAGCGGCAACCTTAAAACCAATGAAAACCAATATTAGCAGGGTGATATTTGTTTGTGTCCATGTCAGCAAGAACACGTAGACATCCACACAGCTTTTAAATTGATCAAAACTTACCAGGAGATGTGCAGTGGAGTCAGCTCCTCTTCTCCGACCTCATCTTCAGATGAAGAGTCAAACTCGCTTGTCCTCATTTCTTCAGCCCCCCCCTAAACAGCTGAGAAGCGACACACTAAAGTTTACTTACGTTTGGCAACTGACACTTTACTGGTCCTGATAATATTCAGCAATATATCATGAATTATACAGTCTTGAATAATCGCCACATAAATTCACATCACTGTAATGTCAGACATGCAGAGATTACTAAAAATTTCCATTGCAATACCAAAATGTAATATATTTACTGCCATAACAAGCTTGCTGTAGTAGGTTTTTTTGTTTTCAAAAAGGCTAGGCTCCCTGCTTTTAGTTGAAGAGTTTTCCAGTGTCACAATGGATTTTTTTTCAGGTGGTGACTAACTGTGTTGAGCATTATCAAAACCCACAGTAAAGGTAATAAATGTGTGTAATCATTTAGCAGAACTCTATGCCTGATCATGTTTTTTCTGACCATTTTATTAACAAAAAATATATCTCCACGTCAAGTCATACTGCCAATGATGATGTAAAGTAAATGATATTCAAACACAATGCAACTGCCCTGATATTAGGCCTGCCATTATTAAGGCATTTAAGAGGTTTATGTAGAAGTCAGGTTAATGTGTGGATATAATTTCCTTAGGGATTAATAAAGTATTCTTATTCTGATATATGATTCTCTAAGGAGGCTTCAAACCAATCCTTCAGCCTCAAGGTAAACAAAATATCTACACACTTGATTCTCCAATATTTTGCAGGTATAAAATTTCCGATAAATATAAAGTTTGATTTATTATGAACATTATTATCAGAACTGACGGTTTATTTCACATCGAACCCAGCTAACGCTAGCTGTGCAGCTCATATCAGAACACGATAACAACAAGACCAAAATTAAATAAAACCACCATCTTACTGTCGCCCAAAATAAACAGAAAGCTCCGTAGCTTTAAGGAAATACATGTCTGTGAGTAAGTATTCAGAATATCGGAGTAGTGTCGTGATTTCTCACCAGTCACGCGATCTTCCTCGCGACTGTTTTGACAGCCCTGTAAGTCTGTCGGCAGCTGCAACAATTTAAAAACTCCATGAAGCACGCAGCCAATCAGATTCGAGCAATGACCCTTGGCCACACCCCAGTGCAAAACAAAACAGGGGCTTGTGCGTTCGATTTAACTAGAGGAGTCATCGAGGCGGGCGGAATAAACATACGACTAGAAATTACACAAAATCGGATATTCTTAGAATTAAACAGACTGGGTCTTACAGGGTGGGGTGTACAGTATATACACATATAATATTCCCATACTAATGTTCATATTTCAGTTAAGCGTATTTTCGTAATGTATTGTACACACAATGGGGTAGGTAAAAGAAATTGTGGCCATTTTCTGCATTGTGGTGAATTCTTGTGCGCCAATTTCTGCATCAATTTAACGAGGAAATGTTGTTATTTACTTACTGTAAAACACACACAACAGGCACCAGGTGGCAGCCAGGTGCGCGAAACACATTTTCGTGCTCTTTGCTATGTCAAACTTTATTGTCCCTTTTAAATGAACAAACAGATAAAAATTTGTAATTTTTCCATTTACATATTGAAAACCCTTGGACGTATATTTAAGTGTCATGCCAATAAAATATAGGCATTACAACAATTTAAATATGTTTAATAAATTGAAAAACAGAGCACATTTGCACAACAGCACCAAACGGGCAATCCACTATGAAGCAACACTTGCTTCATAGTTCACTGAGCGTCACGCAGGACATCTGCTGTCTGCACAGAGCAGCACACAGAGCCTCACGACCCTTCACGCTGCAAACCAGTTCTGACGTTAGAACAGCAGAAAAGCGGAGACCTGGAGGTTTTTAGGATTTACTGGACCTCTTTCGGATGTCTGAAGAAACACTGTTGAGGAGCTCTGACTAAGGTGAGCTGCTTTAGCCTTCTTTTACATTGTTTGCTTCAATAATCAGCTTTTCTCTCATGTATTGTGAGTGGTTTGATTGATGTTTGGACATCCCTAACATGTATATGTGTTCATAAATATATATATTTTTTTTGTTTGTTTCTGTAAATCACAGTCTGGCATCCTGGAATAAAAAACCCATGATGTGCATTATTTCAAAGAATTAGAAATAATTGTAAGGCTATAATGAATCTCTATAATAAAGTGATCGTATCTGGTTTATTTGATATTTAAAAAATGAATCCAATGCATGTTTAATTTGTCTTTTTTTTGATGATCCCTGCCTCTCCTTCTGTCAGCAGACTTATAAGGAGGGATCTTGGCTCCTGCAGCCATTTCCCCTGCAGGGCTGAGCTCTTTGGCTGGCTTGCCACTTCCTTAGCAGAGGGACTGCTGGCAGGGGCAACATCTGAGCAGGTACCACAAACAAACAAGACGCAGAAGTTATTAAATCAGGTTCTTTGAATAATAAGAAAAATAGGTTTAGTTTGCTGAAAGAGAGATAGATTGACTTGCGTGCTTGGTCTCCATCTGAGTTTTTTTGGATTATGTAAATCAGAAAGATGACTGTGAGTGTCAGCAAACACACTGATTATTAATGTGTTTGTGTTTGTCTCCCTGCACAGGTCATGAAGCCTCAGGAGGCAGAGCTTGTTACTGAAATCTCCAAGGTACGCTGAACCTTCCCTCATCAGCCAGCCTGGATTTGTGAGACATATTAGTTGAACTTTGATGACCAAAATAGCGTTTAGACGATACTATGTCATCCCCTCCAGTTACAATGCATGGTCTCGGAGCTGAAGTCGGGGTTCACCAGCGCTCTGCTGGAGCTCAGTCAGATCCAACATGGAGACACATACCTGAGAGAGGAGCTGGAGGAGAACAGGAGGAGCTGTCAGAAAAAAGCTTTAAGGCTGGAGGCTCTAGTCGACTCACTGAGGGTAAGACTTAAAAATTAACCCGAAGGGTTTCTCATATTTCTCCACAAGTGATGATGCTCAGCTACTTCTAGATCGAAAGCTCAGCGTCAGTGCTTTGTCAACTACAGGAGGAACTCAGTGTGATGAGGTGTCAGATCGTGCAGCTGTACAGCAACAGACACAGACCTCAGCAGGATGGAAAAAGCTCCACATCCAAGCAAAGAGAAAGGTACACATGTACCACGACCCTGGAAGAATGCATTGCTATTGCTGACATACCTCGGTAAAAAATTCAGCATGGTATCATTAAAGCACAGCTCAGATGATTTTTAGCCTCGAACAGTCCATCATTAACCTCATCCTTACATCTCATCTTTGCCTCATGAGTCGTTTGGACCTTTATTAGTCAATGCAAGCTCATTTCTCCAACATTTTATCCATAGGAGTAACACCTTTTTCCAGTTTTGCAAACCTTGAGTTATAAAGCAATTAGATTCATGATGTGAATGCACAGTAGAGACTGTAAACATTTTTAGGTAAGATTATAAGTAGTAAATGCTGTCATTTGTTCATTGCTGTGCAGCAGCGATCCAGCTGAGCCGCAGCGTGTACAGCGTCAGTGTGATTGTTCATCTGCTCCCCCTGCCTGTCTGTCCAGAGGAAAACTGCTTCTTCACTGTTTCCTGCAGGGCCTCAAAGCTGGTCTCAGTGAAGGCACAGGTGAGCTCACACGTCACTTGTATAGATGCAGAGTATTTTCTTCTGATTTTGCAGATTCATCATCCTTTTCTTTTTTCTTTGGGTTTTACAGATGCACGCCATCAGGTCACGATGCAGCTCCTGCACTCTGAGTGGGAATATGTGTCAACCTTAAACCAGCTGTATGACAAATACAAGACCCCACCGGCTCACCACATGACTGCAGAACCATAGTAAGTGCTGGAGAGGATTTGTGACCCTTTTTTCCACTGCGAGTTACAGAAGTTTCCATTTGTGGTAAAAGATTCTGTGTATGCGTGTGTGTTTTCTGTGATCCAGTCAGACCTATTTGAAGTTTGTGGAGCAGCTGTTACAGCGCCATCTGCTCTTCAGAAATACACTGCAGGAGCGGTTATCAGCTGAACACTGGAAATCTCTGATTGGAGACATCCTGGTGCAGCTTATTGGCCACAACGATGTAAGCCTATGTTCTGTTGTGACGTTTTTATGATTTAAGTCTATCTTTCATTTCCACTGATACACAGGTTTTCATATTCTTCCTCATTTGTGTTGTCCAGACAGCTTTTTCAGACATGTACCTCGGATACACAACGACCCTGGCGTCATTCCTCTCACTTGAGTTCAAGAGACTCAATCATCCTGACAAGAGTCAAATTTTGCAGGTATTTCAAGAGATTTACCATTAACATTGTTCAGCTAAAATCCACCAAGGACACCAGAAAGACGCTTTGTGTCTTGTTTTACAGGGCAGCCAGATGGAGAGAGAGGAAATGAAACTGCTCTCCTTGCTTTTGGCACCTGTCGCGCGCATACACAGCTACCTGAGTCACATTCAGGTGAGTCAGCAGCCAGAGCAAATCCAGTTTTGAAGATCTACAGATACTTTCAGTGTATTCATTTAAGTTAATTTAGTAAGGATTTGACTTGACAGCTTACTCTTCCTTCTCCAGAACCTCTTGCAGTGGACTGGTAAAGAGCATCCTGACTGCAGCCTGTTGTTGGGAACTGAGCGAGCTCTGAGGAGCATTTTATCCCGCTGTCATGTAATTCTCGAGGAAGACGTCCGGTGGGAAGAAGGAGAAGTAGCTGGACAAAGGTAAGAGCATTATCAAAGATGTCAGATTATTTGTTTCAGATTTGGGTTGCTGATGTGGAAGTCTCACAGAGGACCTATTTGCTAGTTTTCATCTCCATGTTTTTATTTTTGGACTTTATTAGACTAGTTTTGCATGAATCATAGTTCAAAATATTATTGGCTGCCCGCTGTAAACAGGTGGTTGTGGTTATGTGCCCGAGATGATCGTAGTAAGGATATCCACTGTCATTCACATGATAAAGCTCCATGAGTAGAAAAACTGTCTAGAAACAAGCATTTGGTGCAGTGCTTTGAGCTTTTCACTCACAGGGATTCCACATATGCTGACCTCATTATCTGAAACTTTTTCCATCATAACACAGTACATTATATGTGTGAGAAAATACAGAAGAGCACAATAGCTCCACCTGCATTTGTCTGCATTTAGAGTTTTGCAAGTAAACTTGTTCTTTGCATAAAAAGCACCTCTGATGCTGGGGCTGGCGTTTCTGCTGCAAACTGTTGCACGAGGAGCCAGCACACCAGAGAGTCTCAGCAGGCCAGGGAAGAGTCAAACGCTGCTGCTCAGAGGTCAGTGACACCCGCATCGGACGTCAGACAATACAGCATGCACGAGAACAGCTGTGGCACAAAGTGTTGCTCAAAATCAAGCAACAGCCTATTTCAGTGGCATTTATCTGCAAAAATGTTTTGCATGTTTTTACTTTAAACTGTACAGGTTCACATTGCTGTGAAAAGGCATTCGAACCTTTCCTGATTTCCTTTTTTTGTTTGTTTTTTAGATATTTGTCACACTTACATGTTTCAGATCATCAAACAATCACATTTTAACACTAGACAAAGATAACCCAAATAACCACAAAAATTAGCTTTTAAATGATGTTTTCATTTATTAAAACAAAAACCCCAACCCCCCCCCCAAAAAAAAACAAAACAAAAAAACAACACAAACAAACAAACAAACAAACCAAAAAAACCCCACCCCATCTTGATCATCCCTTAGACTTCTGGGAAAATGTCCTATGGACTGATGAAGCAAAAGTTTAACTTTTCGGAACATCTGAGTCCTGTTACATATGGTGTAAAACTAACACAGCATTTCATAATAAGAACATCATCCAGCCAGTCAAATGTGATGGTGGTAGTATGACAGTCTATAGCTGCTTTGCTGTTTTAGGACCTGGAAGACTTACAGTGGGGCAAAAAAGTATTTAGTCAGCCACCGATTGTGCAAGTTCCCCCACTTAAAATGATGACAGAGGTCAGTAATTTGCACCAGAGGTACACTTCAACTGTGAGAGACAGAATGTGAAGAAAAAATAAATAAATCCATGAATCCACATGGTAGGATTTGTAAAGAATTTATTCGTAAATCAGGGTGGAAAATAAGTATTTGGTCAATAACAAAAATACAACCCAATACTTTGTAACATAACCTTTGTTGGCAATAACAGAGGTCAAACGTTTACTATAGGTCTTTACCAGGTTTGCACACACAGTAGCTGGTATTTTGGCCCATTCCTGCATGCAGATCTTCTCGAGAGCAGTGATGTTTTGGGGCTGTCGCCGAGCAACACGGACTTTCAACTCCCGCCACAGATTTTCTATGGGGTTGAGGTCTGGAGACTGGCTAGGCCACTCCAGGACTTTCAAATGCTTCTTACGGAGCCACTCCTTTGTTGCCCGGGCGGTGTGTTTTGGATCATTGTCATGTTGGAAGACCCAGCCTCGTTTCATCTTCAAAGTTCTCACTGATGGAAGGAGGTTTTGGCTCAAAATCTCACGATACATGGCCCCATTCATTCTGTCCTTAACACGGATCAGTCGTCCTGTCCCCTTGGCAGAAAAACAGCCCCATAGCATGATGTTTCCACCCCCATGCTTCACAGTAGGTATGGTGTTCTTGGGATGCAACTCAGTATTCTTCTTCCTCCAAACACGACGAGTTGAGTTTATACCAAAAAGTTCTACTTTGGTTTCAAAGATCGAGGGAGATTATCAGTGGTCTTGTATGTCTTCCATTTTCTGATGATTGCTCCCACAGTTGATTTTTTCACACCAAGCTGCTTGCCTATTGTAGATTCACTCTTCCCAGTCTGGTGCAGGTCTACAATACTTTTCCTGGTGTCCTTCGAAAGCTCTTTGGTCTTGGCCACGGCGGAGTTTGGAGTCTGACTGTTTGAGGCTGTGGACAGGTGTCTTTTATACAGATGATGAGTTCAAACAGGTGCCATTCATACAGGTAACGAGTGGGGGACAGAAAAACTTCTTACAGAAGACGTTACAGGTCTGTGAGAGCCAGAGATTTTCCTTGTTTGAGGTGACCAAATACTTATTTTCCACCCTGATTTACGAATAAATTCTTTACAAATCCTACCATGTGAATTCATGGATTTTTTTTTCACATTCTGTCTCTCACAGTTGAAGTGTACCTCTGGTGCAAATTACTGACCTCTGTCATCATTTTAAGTGGGGGAACTTGCACAATCGGTGGCTGACTAAATACTTTTTTGCCCCACTGTAATATCAGCTGATGGAACCATGAAATCTGCAGCAGGTCAACTGTGAATGGCTAAAAAAACAAAACCAACAACAACAAAAACAGCATGAAACATTTGTAGTGCCCTAGTCAAAGTTCAGACTTCAACCCAGTGGACATGGCTTGATGTAAACAAGCTATTCATGTTTGAAACCCACCAGTGTGGCTTTATTAACACAATTCTGTATCAGAGTGGGCCAAAATTCTTCCACAGTCGTGTGACACTCTTATTACCAGTTATCACAAATGCTTGATCGAAGTCCTTGTTGCCAAGGGTAGAACAACCAGTTATTAGGTTTAGGGTGAAATAATCTTTTCACATAGGGTCAGGTAGATTTGCATAGCTTTTTTTCTCTTAATTTTTCTTTAAAAAAATAGCATTTTGTCATTTGTCTAGGTCATATTTGTCTAATGTCTAATCTGTTTGATAATTTGAAACATTTCATTGTGGGAAATACACAAAGGAAAAAAAATCTTGTTAGAGCACTCTACATGAGTACCACGCAGAGTGCTTTCTTCCAGTGGATGTAGATGTCATGGTGGGGTCATCTTATTACTTTTGCCAGCAGAGAAGAGCAGATAGCTGTCGGCCTCAGCAATGGCGTGAATGGCTGCCAGTCAATGCGTGTGGAGTGTTGGTCCTGCAGCCCTGTGAGAAGAGACCGAGCCCTCCTGAACCAGCCGGCCCATGACTGTGGACATGCCTACTGCTCCCTCCTCACTCCAGACACAGCAGGATGGGGAGACAACAGCGACTCAGGCCAGGGCACCTTCAGCCAGCCCACGGGGAAAGGCACCAACGAGCTAGAGGCACCTCGCACGAACCACAGCCTGGAAGACTGTGAGACAGACCCCGATGACACCTCTGCCTTTGACTATTCCTCAGTCACCTCATGTAGCCCTGATGGCACTCTGCGCAGAGAAATGACCGGTAGCAACAGCGGGGAGGATGAAGAGGAAGACAGCCAGGTGCCAGTGCTGTTAAAGCCCTCATACAGTCAGCAGCAGCAGGTCAAAGAGACACCAAGAGAGAGGACTGTGTGTCTGAGGTGGCAGATTCCAAGACTGACCCCTCACCCTCCTCTGAGGAACCCATCAGGACCCCACATGGACGGGCCAACGCCGTGTCTCGTCAGCTCCTACGGGAAGAGGTTAGTCAGCGTTAGAAAGGGATCGCCTCCTCTTCACCCGAAAAGTGCCTTCAGGCCAATCTGGGATGATCCATCAAAGCAGGTATTCACTTTTAATTTAATACACCTTTCAGTGCTGTTTTTTTGCAGAGTTTGTCCCTTCCAGGCGGTATAGTGCTGCAACAGCTCCCACTGAGATCATCTTATTCTTTATTTATGTGGAAAATGCTATCAAAACAACCTTTGATATTCTGCACATAGTGACCTCGATCAAATAGGGGATCAGAAAATTCTCTATAATGTCTTAACGATTTTGCCATTTAGAAAATCTGTTGGAGAATATATCAATATCAATAGTCAGACCATCGATCAAATCATTCAGAACTGTCAATTTGTTTGGGTGTCTTACCTAAACAGATGTTAAAGACAGTCATCTGAGGCATCATCGTGAAATGGTGGAGAATTGTTTTAATTTGAAGTATCTCCACATGACTGATTCTCCAGCCTGTTAATGCTTTAATATATACCTGCACTTCACGTGTCTTCATGACGCAGGCTGATTCAGCCCCAGAGAAAGACAACAGGCAAGGTTTCATTCCGATTCAGGCTCCAGCGAGGCAAAACTTTCAGAATTTCAACCCGAGCAGAGAAAATTTGAGGTAAGAGTATGAAATATGTGATACCAGTGAACCTTTCTCCAAGGCAAGTTGATCAAACATGCTCGGGGAAATTGCACTGCGATTATTTGCGATTGAATGAATCTAAATATGATCACTAAGCTGACTTTCCTAACACATTTCCCATCTCTTCAGGACAGGGCTGGCTCAGCAGCGAGTGAACCATGCAGCAGCAGCCACGAGCAGTGGAGGATTGTGGGATGACAGTGAGGACAGCGAGGGACCCTGCAGCACTGTTTGATAACTGCCATTTAAAAAAATCCAAAACCTGAGCACAAGCGTTTTTCCACAAGGCCTCTAAAGTTGTGAAGTGCATGAATGAGCAATGAGCAACTAACAATCAGGGACTGTTTTTGGATTTGATGTTAAATTAAAGCTTGATTGAGCTCTGCAGAACTCTTTGTTCTTTATGTCTTGTCTTTTCAGGATTACACTTTTTTATGTGGGCAGGATCACGCTTAAGCCCAGGTTCAACTCACTGTGGAAGAGAAAGAAAAAACAAAAAGCAGCAATAATCAGATGTTTCATCAGGATTTCATGCTTGAAAGACTTTAATGGTCCCAATGAGACAATTTAAACAGGTTGCATAGCTTAAAAAATGATTTACTTTAATATTTACCTAAAGTCCTTTACTACATAAAAGAAAACAACTCTCACTGACCTGCTAATATCTGTGGTCTTTTACTCAAGTCTTGTACAGCGCTGTAAACCCTTGGCCTTCTCTTAATGAGCTTCATGTGCTATTTGAAAACTGTTAGAATTCATATTATGGCAAGAACCAATCAGCTACTTAAAGAGAAACGACAGTCCATTGTTACTTTAAGAACTAAAGATCATTCAGTCCGTAAAACTGCAAAAACTTTGAATGTGTCCCCAAATGCAGTTGCAAAAACCATCGAGCGCTACGATGAAACTGTCTCGCATGAGGATGGCCCCAGGAAAGGAAGACCAAGAGTCACCTCTGCTGCTGAGGATAAATTAATCTGAGTCACCAGCCTCAGAAATCGCAAGTTAACAGCACCTCAGATTAGAGCCCAGAGAAATGCCTCAGAGTTCCAGTATGAGAGGAATCTCTACAGCAACTGATCAGAGGAGACTGGGGGAATCAGGCCCTTATGGTCAAATAGCTGTTAAGAAACCACTACTAAGGAGAAGCAAAGAGCAGAAGAGATTTGTCTGGGCTAAGAAACACAAGGAATGGACATTAGACCAGTGGAAATCTGAGCTTTGGTCTGATGAGTCCAAATTTGAGATCTTTGCTTCCAGTGGTACTGGTACATTGCACAAGGTGAAGGGAATAACGACTAAGAAGAACTACCTCCAAAGCATTAAATTTTTACTTAGATCAGTGGCTAGATGTTTAAAACTTGGACAAAAATTACAGTCATGACTAAACCCATCAAAAGTGGTTTTGAAATGGATCAAGCAGGCTAACACTAAGCTTCTAGAATGGCCTTCCCAAAAGGTACATGCCAGGAACCCAACCCAACCAATTTAAATAAATGATCTCAATTCCTTCAAGAAGGATGATCAAATATCCAAACAATTATGTCAGAAGCTTGTTGATGGCTACAAAAAGCATCTGATGAAGGTGCAACTTGTTATAGGACATTTCACCAAATATTAGTGGGCGGAGTTATGAGTGTATTTGAGTTCAAATACATAAAAATCTCAACTTCTGCACCTAATTCTTGTTTTTTTAACAACTGTACCCATTATTTAGTTACTGTATAGTAAAAAAAAATCCAGGATGAATGAGAAACCATGTCGTAACAAATTATATTGGTAAGTTCTCCCAGTTTGAAGATGTGGTAGAGGATAGAGAGGCAGACACAACTAACAACAAATTATCATTTATTGAAATTGTAGGTGGAAAATTCAGATAAATAAACTGCACCACAAGTTAAAAGTCCAGCTGTCTTTCTCCAGATCTCCACAACACAAATGTTTTTTCTGTACCACTAAAGCAGTGTTAAAGTGAGGTGGCTCACGCAGTATTCTATCACTCGTAATGTTTTACATATTACAAACTTACTGCCTGTATCCTGCGTTGTTCATCAGATGCCACCGGAGGGCGACAGAAATACCTAAAAAAACAAAAACAAATCACATGTTTATGTTTACCTCCAGCTGTTTCACCATTGATCAAAAGGACGGGGCCACAGCTGTGAGCTGAGCAACTCTGAGTAAGATATCCCGCATGCGCTTTCTAACACTTCACTGTTACCTCACACAGATAGTCACCGAGACAGAAACACACTATTTTTCCCCTCTTGCGTGTGTGTTTGTGTGGCTCTGTGGGGAGAAAGTCAGTCACAAAAGAAAGTACTCAAACAGTGAGCGCACGCTGTCGACCTCCACCTCCGTTTTTTCCTTTCATGGCTGATCTTTGAACCTCGTTAACTCCACACAGATTACTCAGAGCACCGCAGCGGAAATTGTACCTCTATAATAATTTAGGCAACTGGATAAAACCCCGATATCTCCGACCCTGGAATGGATCTGCCTCTGCGCTGCGTGCGGTTTCCACGGACAGCCTAATTCTTATTTCCTGGAGGATCGGTGAAATGCTTTGAGTAAAGCAGAAGTAAAAAAAGAAAAAAAAAGAAAAAAGATTTATGTCCACTAGAAGAAACTACATCGCGTAAAAGTAGAAACTACATCGCTTAAAAGTAGACAATGTTGAACCTCATATGTTTTCTAACGTGCGTCTTGGCTTTTATCACAACTTCCCAGAGTGTGCGTGGGAATGTCACTGATGGAGACGCGTTTTTGGAGAATATTATCCACTACTATGGTGAAAATAATTCCATTACAACAACGAATCTTGAAGATTTACTGCTGTTGATCTCAGCCAGACGATCTGACTTAATAAGTAAGGAAAATCCACTGGAAGAGCAAGAGGTACAAACGTATTCTATTTCCTATATACTGCAGTTTTTATTATTTAAAGTTATTGATCATTAAAGTTGCTTACGACCAAGAATGTTTCTCTGGGGCTTACAACCACACACTATTTGACCTTGCATGTAATCCTTGAAATATTGTGTAGCAATGATATATGAGTAGTCTTGTAGTGTAATTACTCATTTCTTACCCCCATATATGCAATTATAGAACATTTTAACCTTTATTTTATTACTTTTTATTATCATTATTTTTTTTATTTTTTTTACATTTTTACTCAAGTCCTCAAAGTTTCTCCATGTGCCATATGGTATCATTTCTGCCTTTAAAAAGACTCTAAATGACCTTAAACTTTCATTACTGAGCAGAATTGTCTTCAAATATTTCTTTACTGCATGTCTCTTCTGCCACTTATAATGAAAGTTTTAATTACACAGCATATCCAAGTACATGCATCACAAAGGGCTTCAGAAAAGAAGCCGGTACATTTATATTTAAATGCATGAAAATTATGTCTAATAACAACTTTCTGTCCCTCAGTGTCTCTCTGCAAAGCAGATCTTATCCCAGTTTGGCTACAATAATGTCAGTCAGCTGACTGTGGAACATCTGGAGAAGATCTGCCCTGCTGTGTTGACCCAGGTGCTGCTGCCTTCCTGCCCTTACATTGCCCCCGAGGAACTGCTTCATGTGGACTACTCTGGTGAGCCAAATCATCCCAACGTGTCTATTTGTCAAGACCTCTGTAAATTAAATAATTTGCCAGGGTTTGCTTGTTTACTTGAATTGGGTCAAGAAAATTTTTGTGGACAGTCCCATTTATGGCGAATGATTTTTAAAGCTGCTGTTGATAGGTTTTTCTTCTTATACTGACCCTGATAAAGAAAATGTGGGACATTCTTGATTCTGATTGCTTAGAGATGGTTTGAGAATGGTAATAATAATTTATTCCTGCTGGACAGTGCAGAAGAAGAATGTTGTAGTTGTGAAGCTATAACGCACCACATTGTCGGACTCACGGAGCCACTGACCTCGCAGATATCGGCCATATCAACAGTCCTGCTCAGTGCTGTTGACACAGTTATAGCCAACTGTGACTGTTGTTCAGCATGTTGTTCCCGAATCATGCTGTTTCCTCTGCTGGCCTGAGAAGAATTTCTCTCAGGCAAATAAATAGTAATAGTATGTTTTAAAATCTCGAAATAAAAGAGGCCTGGCACTGAAAATAAGAAAATCTATTCACCATTAGATTATATTTAAGAAAAGTAATTTGTGCCCACATTAAAATAATAACTTATATCGTCATATTTCACTAAATAGCATTATTGCTGGTCTAATAACAATGTCTGGCACATTTATTGAAGTTCTTTTAAAAAAAACTGGCAATTTTTCAAAAACAATAAAACACACACATTTGCAGATGGTGTTACAAATGCATTTAAGAAGGTATATTTATTTCTGCAGGTGAGTTTGGTTAGCTAGGGTTTAATACTGCAGTGTTTCACAGGTTGCACATTCCAGGTTCTTGTCACATTGCCAGGCCCCATTTTAGTAGGTATGTTGGAGGTATCGAGGCTGCATTTAAGAGTCCAGAAAGAAGTAAAAACCTTGAATTCTCGAGAACCTTTTCTTTTTGTTTTGTGCCGTGACAGTGTGGGGTTATGGGTTTCTGGCCGTTACTGTGATCAACCTGGCATCCCTGCTTGGTCTCCTGCTCATCCCGTTCATCAAGAAGCCTTATTTCCCCAAAGTGCTGACCTACTTCATTGGTCTGGCCATCGGGACGCTTTTCTCTAATGCTGTTCTTCAGCTCATACCAGAGGTTTGTAAATGGATGAGTGAGTAAAATTAAGCTTGTCACTGGTTTTTTGAGAGATGTTTAATTGTTTCATAGAATAATACCTATGAATGCACACACACACTCTAGAAGTCTTCTCTGCACCACTGACATTCTCGTTTTTTCCATAGGCCCTGGGGTTTGATCCTAAAGTGGATCACTATGCGACAAATGCAGCTGCAATATTTGGAGGGTTTTACCTCCTGTTCTTTGTGGAAAAGATACTGAAATTATGCCTCCGGATGGACCACGAGGTAAGATAACAGTGCAGGAAGTTTCTCAGGTTCAAAGAACTATAATGTTCTCATTCCCTCCTGTTTTACATCTGACATTGAGTATGTCTGTTTTATTGGATAATTTGATCACTCTAATAATACTTCAAGGTAGTCATAAATAATTTCTTATCAGAAATGACACGCGAGATATTGAAGTTCACAGCAATTAGGTGCATTTACAGTTTGGACAGTGACACAGTTTCTGCAGTATGTGCACATTACAGTGACTAGACTGACTGTTTTAAAATACACTATGATGTATAAGTGAGGCAAATCTGCAAAATAAAAAATGTGTCATTGTCTCATTATTCATGGATCTAACTGCATGCTGACCTTATTATTTGAAACCCAGCCCATGTTTAGCACGAGTAATCGTATATTTAGGGCACATTTAGGGCAAAAGTCCAACACTGAAATCTTTATCTTTTGGGTCATCCACACATGATCACTCAAAGAGTGTTCAAAGAGCAGTCCAAAAGTTGTACAAAAGGAGAAAAGATGTGGAAAATAACAAAGCGGTAGTATGCAAAATCGAAACTAGAAGAAAAAGAAAACATGAGGAAACCCACCAAAACCATAAATCATGACACAGATAACAAGTAAACACCTAAAATAGCCTAAATGTAATGTGTTTTTAAGTTCCTGAAGTGGAAAAGGCTTCTTCAACCTGAATTTGATGTCTGTCTTTTTAGCACGGCCACAGCCACTTCACACTTTCAGAGACATCTCAGGAAAACTCTATCCACAACGGAGACGTGGTGGCAACAAAGGACTCCATCATTTTAACTGCCATCACCACCGTCGCTACAGACAAGAGCAGCCCAATCCTAGATACAAACGTGGAAACTTCTCAGGTAACATTTGACACATGATTGCTCTTTAACAGCAGAATAAACTGCGCAGGTTTGGAAGCCAACAGGTATCAGCTCTAGGTCACATCAACCTTTGGAATAATCAATTTTATAATCAAAGACATTTTATCCAGAGTAGCTCAAATGTTTTGTTTTTATCAGCTTATGATAAGCTTGTCAATCTACTGAACCTCTGTTGAAATTATATCTACAGCATGTATTTGATTGATAGAGACTTGCTGTCCAGCAAATTTTGCTATAAAAGACACACCTCACAGGAAGCAATCATGATATGCTGTTAGGATGTGTGATATGCATAAATAAATTGAAAAGGTAGGCAATATTTAAAAATATTTAATAAGTAAACAGCGATAGTTTTTTTCCTGGAGCCGTTTATTGAGCTGTTTTCAGGCTGATTGGCGTGTCTGTTAATATTTAACAACATTTCTTGTGCCATATGGAGGCCAAGCAAACAGACTTGCTGATGACAAGAAGGGACCGAGCAGCGAAACCAAGCTTCAGGTCTTTCCCCTCGGTCTAAACGCTGGAATTGTCAAAGGAGCACAAAGACTCCTTGTGTGCCCACTGCTAGTAAAAGGGGTTTATTGTTACTGCAGAATGTCTTTAATCAAATCCCAAAGGCGCTGTTTGTGTCCGCATGTTCTCAGGTTTCCTATTAACAGCACGCGTGCCATTATATGTGTAAGCGAGGAGTTGTGTGAGTAATGCAGTGCATCCACTTAGAGAAAATATTTCCTGTTTTCAATTAATCAGTATTATTCTGTGGGTTAAAGATGAAGACTCTTTCATGATTAAAGCCTTTAGTACCATCTTTATTTTTGGACTTTCTAGCTGCGTTACTCTTTCTATGACTGTGTAACTATCGCTCAACCTTGAGATCCAACTATTAATAGGACTGCTGATAAATTTCTTAGAAACACACATTCATTTAGCATCATGTCCATGTTCTGTGATAAATGTCGTAAGAACTGGATGAAATCGTTTAATATCAAGATTTGTGTGTATCCTTTACAGTGGATTGCAACAACATTGGCATTAGCATCATAATTCAGTCAGAATTTAACATTCCAAACTAAGATGTCAAACTATATTAACGCTTAGTTTACTTTTTATAATTATCCGAAACATTCACCAACAGGGGGCAGCATTTTCCTGGTGGGTGTGTTTAGTCTTTGATATGACTTTATAGCTATCCTCATTTCCTCAAAAGACTATGGCAGGTTTGTAAATAATAATAATAAGTTCTGTTGTTGTTGTGTTCTTATTCATGTGAGGTTCTATTTATCTGATCCTGTTAGAACAAGATCATTTTTATTGTGTCATGATAATATAAAACCTTAGAATTGAAAGAGGATGTGCTTTCCTCTCACTGTGAAAGTATGTGATGTAGCTACATGTTGTCTTTCACACTCACTATCAAAACACAATCAGGCATTAGTCGTAGCCGTGTATGTGTAACTTCTCCTGCCACTCTTCCAGGATGCCGAGGTGCCTGATGTCATGTGCCGCTGGTTGCGGGGCCAGCGCATCCGCAGCATCAAGACTGTGGCGTGGATGATAACTCTAAGTGACGCACTCCATAACTTCATAGATGGTCTGGCTATCGGCGCTTCCTTCACAGTGTCTGTCTTGACAGGGTTCAGTACATCCACTGCCATCGTGTGTGAGGAGTTTCCCCATGAGCTGGGTGAGTGATATGTAGCGGAAAATCAGTTTCAGCCTCCTCATGAGTCATTCCAAACTCTGCTGTGCAGCCAAACTTTGCATTGAATGTGCCTGTACATCCTGTATCTATGGGCATGTAGAGACAAGCTGCAGAAGTTCCCCAAGAATACATGTTCTTAGAAATAATGGAAAATATTACTTGCAACTAAAAAACTTCAGAAAAGACATGAGTGGAAGGAACATGTATATATTTACAGTTAGAGTTCAAACTTGCTTTCTGGGTATAAAAATGAAAATAAATCTTTTCATGAAATATACTGTAGCTCGCTTTAAAGGGGGAAATGTGACTAACAGACAAGACAGAAAGAAAAAATGTTGCTTTAAGTATAATGTTCAATCTGCTTGTGTAAAAGAGCTATTTTGTCCTCTCAAGGTGACTTCGTCATCCTGCTGAATGCTGGAATGAGCATCCCGCAAGCCATTTTCTTCAACCTGTTGTCAGCCGTGTCGTGTTACATCGGCCTTGTGTTTGGCATCCTGCTCGGCAGCAACTTTGCCCCCAATGCGATCTTTGCCATTGCAGGAGGAATGTTTCTGTATATCGCTCTGGCGGACATGGTGAGTTGAGTTCTCTTGATGGCAGATACAAAAAAAAGCAGAACCAACATTTATTTAGTCAGTCACTGGACTTCCCCAACATGTTCGAGGCTTCCACTCTATTAAATTACTGATGGGTTTCATGGTTGTCTGCATGTAGTTTTTTATGATCATTCAGCTCCATTGTCTTTGTTTTACAATGCACAACTTTTCAGCTTAAAATCGCTCGTGTTGAGTTTATCAGTGTTATTCCTAGAAAAAGTTGTGTGCTATCTGTGTGAAGCCTCTGATACCTGTAAACTCTGTGTACACTCCTGTTCAAACACGCTGTGACCAAAATGGAGCATTAAGACAAACATTTCATGTGAATTAAAAGTAGAGAACATATTGGACCTATCTTTAGCAGATACTGGAGAGACTGTCAGCTGTGGATGGTTTGATAAAAAATTCAGTATGCCAGCTTATATAATATGATAATATATGTCAGTTACACTCTGTGACCACTATGTTAGGTACAGCTATTCAGCTGCTCGTTAACCTTGATTCATTTAGGATCAAAAAAGAACTGCTGAAGTTTAAACCCAGCATCTGAATGGTGATTTAAATTACTTTCAATGGTATGAGTTTTGCAGAAGGTGCTGATTTACTGGGATTTTCCTCCACAACCATCTCTAACATTTAAAATAAAATACCTTGTTGATATCAGAAATCAGAGGAGAATGCTAAGAGTTCTTCAAGTTGATAGTAAGGTGGCAGTAATTCAAAACCAAGGTATGCAGAAGAGCATCTCTGATAGTCTTTAGAAACAAAAGGCAAAATGAAAGAACAGGAAACTGAGCCTGCATTTTGTGTGGGCTCACCAATATTGGACAATAGAAAGGAAAATCTGGTTGGAAGAGCATGTCAACAACTTGAAACAACTATTAACAACTTGAAAACAGTGAGTTTGTGCACATATACAACTTGAAAACATGGGAAGGTGAGGGAGAACATTTCTTGACTCCTTAGTACCAAGTGAGCATTGTTTAAACATGGCAGACTACTATTGCCAACCATCTCCACCCCTTTATGACCACAGTGTGTCCATTCTGATGATGGCTTCTTTCAGCAGGTTAATGCACCATGTCCCAAAGCTCAGATCTTCTGAAACTAGTTTCTTGATCAAAACAGTGAGTTCTCGGTACTCAAATGTGCTCCACAGTCAGAGCTCAATGTAACAGAACACTTTTAGGATGTGGTGGAATGGGAGATTCATATTATTGATGTACAGCTGTACAGCTACAACTGTGTGATACTGTTATGTCAATATGCACCATAATTTATGAGGAATGTTTCCAGCAACTTGTTGAATCTATGCCAGTTTTTCTGAAGGAAAAAGACGCTGAACTGGTACTAACACCTAATACCTAATAAAGTGGCCAGCAAATATAGCAGTATCCTGGTAATATTCAAGTGTAGGTTTAAAATTAAGTCAAAAATACATATTTAATTAAAAGGTTCAGAAATGTGTATGGCACCAAATAACCTTATATTTTCCTGTATTTCTGTAAGCTGTCAGTGCCTTTTCTACCTTTTAAGTTTGGTTAATTAAGGCCAGTGAAATAAAAATATTCACTGCAGTATTTGGTATTATAAGTACAATGTGTTGTGTGAAGAACTTTGTTTTTGTTCCTGTTTTGTTAATCAACTCAAACCTTCAGCTGTTTCATGTAAAGGAACGTATTTAAGAAGGGCAATTTATTTAGTTTTGGTTTTCATGGAATTTGTTAACAATGAGAAAACTTCCCTCGTTTCATATGAACCACATGAGAACAATATAACTGTAGCCATACAAACCTGAATATTTACACTTCTTCTTTTTATATTGTTGCTTCCCAAATCTAAACCTCAACCTTGCTAATTGCTATTCCTCATTTCAGTTCCCAGAGATGGACAGCATAGCACGGGAACAAAAAAAAACTTCTACGAAGATTGTTTTCTTCCTGATCCAAAATGCAGGGCTGCTAACCGGGTTTACCATCATACTTCTGATCACCATGTTCGCAGGAGAGATCAACCTGGGCTAGAGGACACAGAGACACAAGCTGGAAATAAAAATAGATTCGAGCTGCTTCTGTTTCTGCTCACAGCTCACAGAGCTGGACTGCAAAGTAAATTTAAAGTGAAATCCTGATGTTAAAAGTTAAAACAATACTTTTCTACCTTTGTACAATCAATATAGTGGAAGTGTTTACTCCATAAAAAGGGAATACCTTTACATCGTCATGTATGAAATCTAGATGTATTTTAAGGAGACAATAAATTATTTTTTCAGCCTTCATGTATTGTGAACTATTTTATTTTTTAACCTTTTCAGTGCTACACTGTAAACCAAATTTTTTGTTTCCCTTTGTGGCAGGAAAATGAAAATGTTTGACCTCTCTGACCTTTTCCAGGTTGTGTTGCTGCGGCTGTATTTCAAACGTGCAGATTTCTTTTCGCTGCCCTTTCTCGTTTAGGGATTTAACTGAATGATAATTACACCAAGACTGAACTGTGATTGATATAGCAACTCTTTTAATACAGCAATTAATGTAGCACAATATAACCTAGTTATTATGCTCCACTGGACAAAGACATATAACAAAAAAGCTTATCAGAATATGTTTTCTTACTTTTTTATGAGCTCTCTTCATTATCCTCAGGGTGACCTGACAATGGAGTGATTAGGACACATAAGACATGGGAGAAAATGCCTTCAGTGGTGGTTCCTGTTTAGCTGGGCTGTCTGCTCCCCTATCCATCCTCTAAATACCCTCATTTCCCATCTCTCTTCACTGTCTTTGTTAAGTTAAAGCATTCAAATATTTTAAGAAATGAAATAAAAAGTGATTATCGTAATATGTGTGACACTTTAAAAAATAAATTACTTTGCAATGAAAAATTTTAAAAATGGTTTCTATATACAGACCAGAGGTGTGGACTCGAGTCACATGACTTGGACTCGAGTCAGACTCGAGTCATTAATTTTATGACTTTAGACTTGACTTGAAAAAATGTTGTAAGACTTGTGACTTGACTTGGACTTTTACACCAATGACTTGGGACTTGAATTGGACTTGAACCGGTTTACTTGAAAAGACTTGATATTTTACCCCAAATATAAAATTTAACATGCATATTATATAGAGATTGAAAATGTGACGTCATTCACGGGTAGAACCGCAAAGGATTCTGGGAACTCGTGGCAAGCGGTACTAGCGCACGCAGGCTTTCAATTAAAATCAGTCACACAGCGATAAAAAGAAACACAAAAATGTCAAGAAGCTGTTGTATTATTAACTGCAATAGCCGGTCGCATGACAGCCACGGGAAGCCGACGGGTAAAGAGATCGGTTGTTATCGGATTACGTCGTTGAAGAGAAATTGTTCGAGCCATGTTTCCGAAGTAACAAAGACGCGACGGATGGCCTGGATTGCAGCCATTCAAAGATCAAATATAACATCCCAGAACACTCCAGCTCACAGGTTAGTCTGCTCCAAGCATTTACACGAAGGTCAGTGTCTTTTAGTACTTAATACGTCATTTTCATAACATAATTGGTGATATAGGTTACAAGCAAGTCTGGCGCTGAACAGAAATTGTCGCGCTATGCTCCTTTGTTTATTGTGCATGAATAGTGAATTGTCCTGACACAATATTGCGTTTCGCTTCTGTTATTATGGTACATTGACAAAAACATATACTTTTATTCACAGGATAAAACAGGTTTTTTGTATCACTAATTGCCCAGTGCGATTACAGCATACAGTATTATTGTCACTGCTACATTTCTGTGATGGGTACTGTTAGGTATTTTAGTACCATGGGAGCATTTACTGGATATTGTTTTATAGTGACATTATACAGGAAAACTCTGTCATTCAATAAGGCCCCTTTGTTTTAGTTATTTTTCTCTTTGACCCAAGAATTGATGTGTGAGAATCACAGGCTGGTACAAGGTTGAAATACCACAGAGATCACTCCCTCAGCTACATTAGTTTCTTAATCTTTTAGACGCCTGTTGAAGGCCAAATGGTTTGTTTCAGATTTCACTAATGAAAGAACTCTTCGTTTTGTGCCTTGAAAATATGTCGCTGAGATAATCACAATTGTAGCTGAACTGATACACTACACAAAGGATGCTTCTTCACCCAAGGGCAGGAAGACGCTGCCTTATCTTGGTCTGTACTGGTTTAAACTGATAAATCTGCTGTCTCATGAATTTTACCCTCTATATAAACTGTTGTACTTGTGAATAAAGTTGAGTCACTTTGGGAAGACAATCTAAAGCAGTCTCTGTTTTCTTGTTCTCCCAAGCTGCTCCCGAGCTCGTACTAACACGCTGAATGGCATGCTTGAATATTACTTGAGAATATATTTGACTGTGTTACAGACTAAGGGACATTCTCTGCTGATAGGTGAAGGTACATTCTCTGCTGATAGACGTCCACGCCTCGAAGGAAGTCGATCCACGGATTAGGCCCTGGAAACCGTTTCCTTCAGGTACCAGAAATTATTTCCACTACTAATTAATTACCGTTGAGCTCAAAGGTCCTATTAATAAACGGTTAACGAATGTGTATTTATGACGACGATTTGTGAGACTGGTAAACTTATGATACGTACGATGGTCTTTCGTTCTACACGGTGCATTTCAAGGTCCTGCACCCATCCGTCGGTAAACTGTACCTGGGCTTGTTGCAGTGACCGGAAGTTACTAAATTTCATGAGTGTGTGCACTCACTCCAAGAACCGTATGATTATAAATATGCATATAAATATGCTACGATGAGATAGCTGACTTCATCTAACTAGCAAATGTTTTCCAGGCTACGTTGGTGATTCAGTTTTTTTTAATATGTATGATATTTTTGTCATGCGATTTTAAAGCCGGTCCTACAACCGCATCCAAGAATAACATGCAGCTTATCTCAGAACTGTCGGTGAAAATTATTCTTGGAGCTAGGTTTAATTGAGCTGCATTTTAAAGAGGTGCAATTTCACAATTTGTGTATATTTTCTAAGTTCACTATTTTGTCATGTGTTGAGAAAAACACAGATTTTAAAATTACATGGTCTAATATTTACATTTAGCATAACTGCAACATGCTTTTTTTCGGGGTTTTTTTAAAGACTCGAAAGGACTTGAAATTCAAAGTTTCAGACTTGTGACTTGACTCGGACTTTTACACCAGTGACTTGAGACTCGACTCTGACTTGCCTGACATTACTTGAGACTTGACTTGAGACTTGAGGATAAAGACTTGAGACTTACTTGAGACTTGCAAAACAATGACTTGGTCCCACCTCTGATACAGACTATGAAATCATGAAATGTACAAAAAAAATGCTGATTACATAAGTATATGTGTATCTGAGGATATAAACAGTGATTGAGCAGAAGAATACTGCATATTAGGGCTATACATAGTTGATGTGTGAGGGCATCTTAATTTTTTAACTCATGAAGGTGAGTCTTCAAAACAATACTCTTAAGCAGTAACATGTATATGCAGTGTACTTCTGAATCTGCAATACAACTTACACATCACAGAGAAGGCTAGGGATACTATTTATCCTTGTAATGTAGTGAAGTTGTTTGGAAACGTAGCAGGAAACCTGGCAGTGCACCACTGCAAAACTGTGATATTACAATGATATTGCAAGTAAAGATTTAAACTTTACCCAACATTATCTCCATATCTGGAACAATATCTCCAAAAAGGCTGTAGCAACAGCCTAAAACAGTAACAGTAAAAATACATTAATACATTAAATGCATTAATATCAACCCTAAAAAACTTTCACGCCAGCTTTCAAAGTTCTTCCGACGATCCCTGAATGTAGCACGGTAGACATGAGGAAGTAGTTTAGGAGCCAAGCGAAATGAAGGGCTTTTGACTTGGGTAAACTGAATTTACACTCCACTTTCAAGGACTGGCATAAAACAGGTAAGTCGCATTTATTTTGTGGTTTTTGTGAGTCATAAAATATCAGAGCAAACTGCAGTCCAATCCTCAGCGCCTTTGTGAGGTTAGCACTGATGCTAGCTTCTGTTGGCTAATCTGGATTGTTTATTCACCTTTTCTGAAAGGACACGACGAGTTTAATATGTGAACGTGTCCCGTCTAATATCTGGTCAAATAGCGGACAGTTAGCATTACTAAAGCTTATTTCGGTTTTGGGCTAACTCATGTGATGTGCCTTCAGGTGTGTTTAACGGACATTTCGATCAGAGATGAAACTGTTTAATTTTTAAAATAGCTTCCAACTCCAGCCACACCGTGTTTGTTTATTTATGTTTACACTGTTTATTCTGGTGCATACTTTACGAGTCATTTAAGCCAGCAGGGTTTTCTTAATCTTTGTGATGGTCGACATTTTCGCTTATATTTGGAAATAGACTACAGTCAACAGGATTTATAAAGGGGTTGCATATGAAATAAAGAAGAAACCTGTTCTGCAAGTGTCTTAATGACTCTGTTATTGTACTCACATTACAATAAATCAAGCCATCCGATGGAGGATTTCATTATTATTAACATTTATTTCGAGAATAAAGTCAAAATGTGGAGATTGCATTTGTTGTTTCAAGTGCCACGGCTGTTTTACCCTGTACAATATGCCTTGTGCAGAAGAGTTGGTGAAACAACGTGATCAGCTGTGTCTTAAAAAAGAGGTAACGGAACAGGGCATTTGCATCACGGGTGTGCGACCGATAAATCTGCAACAGCTGTGTGATGCTGTCGTGTCAACATGGACCAAAGAAGAAGAATTAAGGGAATTCTAAAGGCAAATCGGTGTCTAACCCGATACCAGAAAGGTGTACCTAATAAAGCAGATGTTGAGTGTATTATCTCACTGAAATATATTGGTGTCTGTATTTTTAGGTTATAATTTCTGCAAAGACAAAATATATTTTTCTGGAAATTGAATTGCATTCAAGTGTTGATGATTAGATGTCTTTACTACCACTAATTACTACAGAAAATGATTGTTTTCACCTGAGATAAAGAAAGCTTTTGTCAGAGTGAAAAAAGTGATTTTGTATTGCAGATTTGTTTGATCCCTGCTTGTATTTTGACATCTCTCATGTCTTTACCTCTGTGATTGAAAAGCTGAACGAGCCATGGACAACATTCAGATCCGGAAGTTTAATGATGAAGATACTGATGTTGTGAAGGAGCTCTTCACCTTGGGGATGAGTGAGCACGTGCCTTCATCCTTTGTGCACGTTCTGAAGCAGCCGCTGACCCAGATGGTCCTCATGTGCATGTTCTGCGCTCTCCTGACCAGCT